GCCCCGCCAGTGGATTCAGGTAGAGATTAATTCGATGTTTCTCTTGAATGACTAATCAAGTTCCTCTCTTACTGGGAGGATGGGCAACTTGACTAGTACCCGACAACAGAGGCCGAGAATAAAATGGTGTCTCGCTATGTGTGCAAGCCACACTGAAGGGCTTGCATGGAGGCAGCTCCCCCCGTTTTCTGGTACAAGGCGGTGAGGAAGGAACCCCTTCACGGCATCACGTGAGTGAGGTCGATTCGAGGCTGTGAAAACAACATGGTCTGGCTGGGAACCGAAACCGCCAGAGTGATGCGTCAATCACGCCTCCCCCCCCGGCGGGTAAGTGTGACTGACTGGAAGCCACGAAAATGCAGAAGTTCAAAAATCGTGGTCGTGCGTGGAGGGAAGGGGCGCGGCCGTGGGGATAGTTTCACGTGATGATCGAGGTTGGGCGGTTAGCAGAAGGCCGAAAAGCAGCAGCGAAAACCCGCCATTCCGGCCGCCAGCTAACCGTCACTTGTTATGTTCAGTTTTTTTTTTTTTTAATAAAAATTTTTTCATTCTCTTTTACTTGAAATCTGCTATGATGAATTTGAATAAATTTAGCAAATTTCATTTCAGATATATTTTTATTTAGAAAAAAATATTTTAATATACTGTAATATACATAGAATATGATGTATATACTTCAATTATAATATAGAACTCATATCTATTATGATGTTGAAGATATTCATGTTTTTCTATAAGTACTGTTTATATGATGAATCCATACAAAAGATACCAATTCCGTTACGGTGTGAATTCCTTTAAAGTGTGGCGCACTCACTAATGGTAGTGAGTCGCGTTTGGCATGGTTGCTCCGTAGTAGGAAGTGGCCACTAACTACTATTCAGGGTCACACGTCATACATCCCGGCCCACGTTGCTGCAGCCTTGGGTATCTATCGTCTTCTCCCAACAATAGCACATCCCATCATCTATATCCACCTGCCTTTACATGATCTAACAACTAACGTATTCCAACCAGATGCGGGTGTTAGTGGCCTTTTTCAATACCTACTTGCAGCTTTTCCCCCCCCCGTAGCCATGCGGCCCGTGGTTTCTGATACCTTTCTACCACGACCCCGCAAATCCCCACCACCAGCGGGACCAGAGGACGAATTCCGCCCCATGTCCTCTGAGACCTTTTTCCTAGCTCGAGATAGCGATATACAAGATTCTCAAGCTGCGTCCGCAGACGATGAAGGGGATGGGACATATGGGGTGCAGAGTCTCGAAGAATCCACAGCTGACAATTCCTCAAAATGGCAGGCTTCTCAACCTGAGGGAGAAATAAGTGATACGTCACCTCTCCACACCCTTGCGAAGATAGAAACAACGATTAAAGCTGCCGAGACTGATGATGGAGATCGAGAAGGACGGAGTCCGTCGCCTTTTAAACATAAACACATCAGAACGCCGCCAAATGTTCCTACATCTTGCCCCCTAACGCCCTTCTTACTTGGGTCGCCGGAAGAGCCCGTCTCCCTTCCAGACAGCCCCAAGTCAACCTCGACACGATCCTTCCTACCGACCAATGAAATATCCATGCCGTATGCGGGAACTGACCCCAGAGGGACGGTGGAAAATGACGGCGATAACAGTCTCAGTTCTTCTGGGGTTCAGGATAGTACGCAACTGATAATGCCAAGTATCAAAATGCCCAGTCGGAGGCCCTTTACTGAAACGGGGAAATCTATGGGCAGGTTCAAGATTCTCCTGGCTGGCAATTCTGGTAATAAAGGCGAACCCTTCGCCCTACCTCCCCCCCTTCTTTTTTTAATTTTGCGTGTGAGGTTTTACTGATATGCTATTTTGCTGGTAGGTTGTGGGAAAACATCTCTTATAAAATCTATAGTTCAAGTGGTCGAAGATATAGTACACGTTGATCCGTTCCCTCGTGGGCCCTCTCGGATTAGAACCAACAAATCGAGTCCGAAACGATCGCATAGATCTCACCACGTACGAGAGGCTACCTCGATAGCAGAGGTTTATGCCAGCACTAAGCCTTATCCACCGTGGTGGTCAGATCTGGAAGATTCAAGAGTCCTTCGAAGGCGGAAAAGTATGGGAGACTTGGTATTGGAAAGAAACTTGTGCTTTGTTGACACATCCTGTGGAAAGCTGGGTCTTGAAGATCAGGCAGAATGTATCATACAGTATATCAGCCGGCAGTTCCAGAGGTCTGTAAACGCGCTGGATTCATTCAACACTGATTTCCAGGGCCTTTTGAGTGGAAATGGTGGCTCCCAGGTGGATGCCATCTTATATCTTGTCTCCGAAGGTCGGTGTAAGTAAAAATTTTGTTTTCAGAATCATGCATTCTAATTATATTGCCTAGATTCGATGTCCGCGGACATATCATGCATAAAGAAGCTGTCCAAGGTCGCCAATGTTATCCCTCTGATCTCTAAGGCTGACCTTCTCAGCAAAAGCCAAATTCAATCCCTAAAACGATCTTTCCACTCCCAGGCGTGCGGTGCGGGCGTTCAACCGTTTTTGTTTGGTGATCTCGCTGGCAGTATCGGCGATGAAGAAACTATCCCAGCCTTACCATTTGCTGTTTCTTCTGCGAATTCCAATGAAGATGACACCATGGATGCAAGTCTGTTGATGAGTCCTGATTATATGCAGCCATTAGCCCCGTCGGAGCTAAATTTGCTCTTGGGAAAGCTGTTTGACCGGGATAACATAGCCTGGCTGCGACATCTGGCCGCGAAGAAGCTGATACAAGCATGTGATTTGCATGTGATTTCCCCTGCGCGTCAACGTCTACAAGGATCTTTGATCTCCAGACCTGCTGGAATCACTTCGAACCCATCTCAATCTACATCGCCCCTCTCATCCGTCTCCCCGTCGCAGGTCCTTGTTCCATACCCAGGTGTTGACAATGGTCCACCATCGTATCTCATGTCTCGCGTGGCCGATCATACCCAGCGGGAGGAGCACCTTGCCCAGATCCGACTTGCAAAATGGGCATCGGACTTGCAAAAAAGTCTCCAAAACGAACGAGAGCGATACGAATCTCTAGCCCGTAGCGAGCGGGCTGTCTGGCTAACAGAACGATTGGGCGAATGTGTTGCGGACGGTACACTCCTCCCCATAATCCAAACTCCAGGCTTCTCTCATATGCAAGCACCGCGGGGGCTAAAAGGCCACGGTAGCGGGGGCAGAGAGACCGTGACAATCCCGGGACCCGATGGCCGACCTGTTAAGTATCGGGTTGCGGATATGAGTTCATCGGGGGATCCTCTGGGCCTGATACGGTGGAAGGACGGTATGAAGCGGACGGGCTGGGTAGTGATACAGATTATTGGAAGTATGGGGGTAGTTGGTGGACTTGCGCTGTGGGTTGCTAAGGCGTGGGGACTCCCCTCATCTCAGGGGTTTGCGGAATGGAATTTTGGGCCGTTTAGCGGTGACTGACCGCCTCTGACTCCACCGACCAACTGACTGGCCGATTGATTGAGGGGCTATAGGGAAAAAAAAAAAAAAAAAAAAAACCAATCCTTTTAGTTAAAACCCACCTCTATAATTTAACATCTGGGGGCATGATCGCAATTGGATAGTTGGGGTTTTATTAAGGCGATTTACCAGGTGGCTTTTTTAATTTTGTTTTCAAGTTTCATTTTATAGTTGGTTGACGTTGACCCCGCGCAACAACGGGTTGCATCTACTGTACATCATAGGAAGTTGATTTTGACCATCATCAATATTACTGGTGTTTGTCCGCCCTTCTCTCAGTGTCCAGTATCTCGTATCTCCCGAATAAGTAAGTCCCAGGCGCGAGAAACTCCGGTATTCATTGACTATTCAACGGTGTTGAGACTGCCATTCCCCGAAGCGGAAACCAGGCTGGGGAATATTCTGCCGTGGAGAGTTCTAGAAAGCCAGCGATGGATTGGGCCTAGCGCCAGACGCAGCGGCCACGGCCATGGAAAGCGGTGGAAGCTTCGCCAAGGCTCGATGGCCCAGCGGTTGTTCTGACAACCGTGGGCGGCAGTTTGCAGGTGCGCGGCTCCAAAGATTTCTGTGCAGTTCTCTGCTCTTCTCTCTGGTTTCCTCTGGTTTTCTTTTTCAACCGCCAACCTCTTTTTCTTTCTCTTCCTTCTCTCCTCGAACTCCAATTCTCAGCTTCAGCTCTCTTCCTCTACTTGGCTACTCCCTCTCTCTTGCATTGATCATCCTCTCTCGCTGCTCACTGCTGCTACCCCCCTCCCATCTCCCTCAGGAATCTATTGGTAAGTGCTTCTCTGGAGAGCTCCTGTTGCCTCTATTACCATTTGTTTTGCTTTTTTCTGCGACTGTTTACCCTCTCGCTTCCTTCCACCACCACAAGAACCCACCACAAGAACCCACCACAAGAAATATTGTAAAAACGCAAAATCAAGCTGTGTCTTGATCGACTTGGTCTCGTTTTACTCAGATCTACTCCCTTCTTTTACCCTTGTTGCAGTTTCCTGGCAAAGCAGGTGACGGAGGCAGGGAAAAGGAAAAAAATTCAAAAACGAAGCTAACTGAAGCTTGGCCAGATTACCATCCTATCACCAACTGCAGCCATGTCGTCTGAAACTTTCGAGTTCCAGGCTGAGATTTCTCAGCTCCTCTCCCTCATTATCAACACCGTCTACTCCAACAAAGAGATCTTCCTGCGAGAACTGATTTCCAACTGTTCCGATGCTCTTGACAAAATCCGCTATGAGGCGCTTTCCGACCCAAGCAAACTCGACTCCAACAAGGATCTCCGCATCGATATCATCCCCGACAAGGAAAACAAGACCCTGACCATAAGCGATACCGGTATCGGTATGACCAAGGCTGTATGTATCCCAATATATCGAATTATCCCCAATTGAGTCTTATATTCTCTCCCTGATTTTGTCAGGAAGCTACGAACGAGGAAGCAGTTAACTGACATTCTCGATGTTTTTGTAGGATCTCGTCAACAACCTGGGTACTATCGCCCGCTCGGGTACTAAGCAATTTATGGAAGCTCTCACTGCTGGTGCGGATATTTCTATGATTGGCCAATTCGGTGTTGGTTTCTACTCTGCCTACCTCGTTGCCGATAAGGTGACCGTCATTTCCAAGCACAACGATGACGAACAGTACATGTGGGAGTCCAGTGCTGGTGGCACCTTCAAAATCACCCAGGACACCGATGGAGAGCCACTTGGTCGTGGTACCAAGATGATCCTTCATCTCAAGGACGAGCAGACTGAATACCTGAATGAGAGCAAGATCAAGGAAGTCGTGAAGAAGCACTCTGAGTTCATCTCCTACCCAATCTACCTTCATGTCCTCAAGGAGACTGAGAAGGAGGTTCCCGATGAAGATGCTGAGGAGGTGAAGGACGAGGGCGACGACAAGGCTCCCAAGGTCGAAGAGGTCGATGATGACGAAGAGGACAAAACGAAAGAGAAGAAGACCAAGAAAATCAAGGAGACTAAGATCGAGGAGGAAGAGCTAAACAAGACCAAACCTATCTGGACTCGCAATCCTGCTGATATTACTCAGGAGGAGTATGCTTCCTTCTACAAGACTCTTTCCAAGTAAGTTTACTTCGAAAATGCCCTGGTCCCAGGATATTCTAATCACGTGATCGTTACTAACTTTGTTGATTTAGCGACTGGGAGGACCATCTTGCTGTGAAGCACTTCTCCGTCGAAGGTCAACTCGAGTTCCGTGCGATCCTCTTCGTTCCCAAGCGTGCTCCTTTCGATCTCTTCGAGACCAAGAAGACTAAGAACAACATCAAGCTCTACGTCCGCCGTGTCTTCATTACCGATGATGCTACCGATCTCATTCCCGAATGGCTCAGCTTCATCAAGGGTGTTGTCGACTCTGAGGACCTTCCTCTCAACCTCTCTCGTGAGACCCTCCAGCAGAACAAGATTATGAAGGTCATCAAGAAGAACATCGTCAAAAAGACCCTCGAGCTTTTCAATGAGATTGCTGAAGACCGTGAGCAATTCGACAAGTTCTACTCTGCTTTCAGCAAGAACATCAAACTCGGTATCCATGAGGATGCCCAGAACCGCCCTGCTCTTGCCAAACTCCTCCGCTTCAACTCCACCAAGTCTGGTGACGAGACCACCTCACTTACCGACTATGTCACCCGCATGCAAGAGCACCAGAAACAGATGTACTACATCACTGGCGAGTCTCTCAAGGCTGTTCAGAAGTCTCCCTTCCTCGATACCCTTAAGGAGAAGAACTTCGAGGTTCTCTTCCTTGTTGATCCCATTGATGAGTACGCCATGACCCAGCTCAAGGAGTTCGATGGCAAGAAGCTCGTCGACATCACCAAGGACTTCGAGCTCGAGGAAACGGAGGAGGAGAAGAAGGCCCGCGAAGCCGAAGAAAAGGAATACGAAGGCCTCGCCAAGAGCCTGAAGAACGTCCTTGGCGACAAGGTCGAGAAGGTTGTCGTCTCCCACAAACTTATCGGCTCCCCCTGTGCCATCCGCACTGGCCAATTCGGCTGGTCCGCCAACATGGAACGTATCATGAAAGCGCAAGCCCTCCGCGACACCTCCATGAGCTCCTACATGTCCTCCAAAAAGACCTTCGAAATCTCGCCAAAATCCCCAATCATCCAGGAGCTCAAGAAGAAGGTCGAGGCCGACGGCGAGAACGACCGCACAGTCAAATCCATCACCCAGCTCCTTTTCGAAACCTCTCTTCTCGTCTCGGGCTTCACCATCGAGGAGCCTTCCGGCTTTGCGGAGCGCATTCACAAGCTCGTTTCTCTTGGTTTGAACATTGATGAGGATGCTGAGACTTCCGAGGAGAAAGAGGCAGACACTGTCGTCGCTGAAGCTCCGGGTGAGAGCGCTATGGAGGAGGTTGATTAGATATTTCCTTCAATTTAGTCTTTTTTTTTTTCCCCTTTATTTCCTTTGTCCTTTTTCTCTCATCCTTTTAAACTTCGTTGTTGAACAAAAATCCTGCTTTTAAATCATGAGCGTATGGTGGAATGATGAAATGAAATACACACGCACACAAACAACACAACAAACCTTCAAAGTAGCCCTCGTCGTTTGTTAAATTTAAGAAGGACGAAAAAAATCAAAAATCGCGTGTCGCGTTTTTTTTTTTTTTAACTGTTAAAAAGAGGAGTGAAAAAGCAAGCAAGTCAATTTCTTCTTAGCAACAGCAGTTCATCTGGCTTCTAATAATAACCTTGTTGGTTTTTGCTCTTTTGCTTGTGTGTGTTCTTTTTCTTTTTTTTTTTTTTTTTTTTGGCTTTCCTGTTTCTTCTTTCGTTTTCATTTCCGCGTTTTTTTCTTCTTTAATTCCTGTGCCATTTGTTTTGCTGTGTGGTTGGTTTGGTCTCTGATATGAACAATAGCTAATCGCTGAATATGCACTAACTAGTTAGTTAATGTTGTGGATTTCTCCTAGGTTTTTATTTGGTTTTGTTTACTCCCTCACACCCCCCCCCCCCCCAATTTTTTTTTTTTTTTTTTAACATCAATTCTCTGTTCTGGGTTTTAAAATGAGTAAGGGAGAAAGGGAGAAAAGGAGAAAAAGGGTAATCGTGCCGCGCGCACCCACACCTGATGTGGGTGCGCCACACCGTAACGATAAAAACAGCGTAACGATAAAAATATGAATAATATGAACTTCAAAAATCAATATCTCAACACCGTGTAGCTAATCTATGATAATTAATTTATCTATATCATCAGTACAGATTAGTAGCAGTATTATTCGCTAGACATTCATATATATCATTAACCTCTTGTTGGGTTGGTTCCGTGGCATTTTTCTTCAAATCTTTCCCAACATGCTTGACTCCCTTATAACATTGTTTTTCAGCTTCCTCCTTCTTAAGTTGTGTGATCTTTCTATTTGCATCCCTCACAGTGAGTATACCTCCTACTTGAACCTGCTGACATGTATTTTTGATGCTACAGTGTTTGACTGCAAGGTAGTAACTCTCAATCTCACACTCTCTTATAGCATTGAATTCTGCCTGTATGAGACTGCCTTGGGAAATCTTGTGCAATTGATTTCTCAGATGAGGTGATTTGAAATTGAGTTTATTCTTCATATTTTGTATTGTCTTCTTTATTACTTGAATATGACATTATAGCTTTTCAATTGTCTTTGAAGAGAATAATTATAAGAAGGGAATAATTGAGCAGTTTGATTGAAAGGAAAAAGAGTCATTTTCTTCATATATTTACAGCTCAGAGCAGTCAAAGACTTTAGAATCTAATTTATTAAATATAGATTGCAGATTGAAAGAAATGATGCTATAATTCATAAAATCAATTTGAATAATGAAGGGTTGAAAGATCTTTTTACAGATGTTGACTAGATTCTATAGAAACTGATGTTTTTCATATTGCTCATATTCATATCAAGCAGCTTGATTAACTGCCTTTGAATGGTAGTGTTTATACTGCTGAAATGGCATCCCATTTAGCGGTTGTAGTATATGAGTTGAATGTGAAGAAAATCCATATAGAATAATCTTGTGGAGATTGCAGTATTGCAGAAATTCTTCAGTGAGATGAGATTCATGATTGTCAAGAAACAGCAATCAATGACTGCTTTGTTGATGTTTTTTAATAACTTTATTAAAATGCTGAATTCAAGCAAAGCCAATCTCATCATTGGTATAGTCATTATCTGACATCGCAATCATATATCCACTCAGTAGATTGCTTTGTGTATACCAATCTTTGAAATGAGTTTTGAATTTCATGATAATAAAGAGATTCAATACCTCACCATCTGCTGAAATACACTCAATCACAGTGATCAATCCTTGAGAATATGATGAAGTTATAACTGAATTTAAATTTTTAAAAGCAGTAATAACTCATTCTCTGCATTCTTGACCTTCTTGAAAGCCAATCTCATCAAAGTTATAAATATCACAGGTTTGAAATGCATACTTTTGAAGTAAGATTTTCAGACAATCAAATCATACTTTGATGTAGTTAATATTCTCTACAACAATTCTTTTCAGATCTATTGCCTTCTGCTTCACTCTTTTATACTCATTCAAACTTTTTATATGTTGATAGATCCACATCTTGCTGACCACAGATAGAAAGGTTGAAGAATCAGTATAATGACATTTGAGAATGAGATTTGCATTATCTTGAATTTGCTCTGCAGTTGATGGGCAATTATTTCTGTTCATATGAGCTATTCACTCTTTCAACACATCCTCCTGGCTCTTGTTAAGCTTCTTGTTCAGTGCAATCTTTGCATTGCATGTTTTCCTTCCATTGATTCTCATTTGAAGACATTGATAAGGAATGTTGAATTTGCGCGCCAGAGGTAGGATTTTTTGTTTTTGATTGCCATTATAGACTTCAATGGCATTTTGAATACATTTTTCAATATCATCCATCTTATTGGTCATGGTGGTGATGATATATTAATATTTGAAGATTGATTAATGAAGAAGTTGATATTTTTATCGTTACGCTGTTTTTATCGTTACGGTGTGGCGCACCCACATCAGGTGTGGGTGCGCGCGGCACGATTAGTTAACTATTTTACTATTCGAAGAAATAAAAAATTTAATTAAATCGATCCAAGAAATAAATGCTTTTTAGGAACTCTTTAACGTCCGCTGTGTCTTGAATAAAAATAAATAAATAAATAAATAATCACCTGCTGCTGCTGCTGAAAAAAGTAGTAACAGCGTCTTACACTTTTATATGTAGGGTGGTGGTGTGTTGGGTTAAAAGAAAAGGTTTTCCATTTTACCAACCACCATTATTATTATTATCATTATTTCGTTTACTAAATGCCTCCCTCAGGAATTCTTATCTATCCTATCATTTAACCAACTATATGACAATGTGTGTGTGTGTGTGTGTGTGTGTGTGAGTGTGTGTCTGTGCAGGATTGTTGAAATTGTGCTGGTTTTTTTTTTTTTTTTTTTTTTTCTTCTACTTCATTGAATATTTATTATTATTATTTGAAAAGGGAAAGAAAGAAAAGGGAAAGGAGAAAAGAGCCAAAAGCGGGTGCAGTGAAAGAACTAACCCGGGAACTTTTAAATAACTAAAACGGCGTAAAAGAGTTAACTAAAGAGAGTTAGTAGTTTATCGTAGTGACAGAGGTGATTGAATAAGGGAAGGAAACCGGTAGAAATAAAAGAAGAATATAATGAACATGATGAGGGTTGACGGTGACGAGGATAAAAGACAAAAAAGCGAGTTCTGTTATCCTGACTACATATCCTGTTGCCGATTTACAGACAATGCTTTTGCAAAAAGAGAGAGAAAATATAAATCATAACGTTAAAATATGGAGCTTTATTTTGGTTTCCAATCGCTAATGAAGAATATAAATGCGAGCAGCATAGGCCGCTGACAATCGAACTGGGTTGGTATCGCAAAATTCGGAGGAGGCATACGATATGTACATGTTGGGAGTAGATACAGGTTCATAGCGTAGGTTGGCAGTTGTGAAGCAAGTCGGGTCGGGAAAGCGGTAGAAGAGGCGGGACGGAATAGAGAAAACAACACGAAATATGCCGTCAAAGAAAGGAAATGTGTAGGGGAAGAATGATAGGAAAAGGCGTCATGCGATTAAACAAAAATGGGTGGACATCGTTAATTTTCAAAGTGCTTGTAAACAATTAAGAGAAAAATAATGAAGAAGAAAGGAAACATGAAATTTGAGAATGAAAATAAAACAGAAAATGAAAAGGAGGGAAAAATATATCATTTATGCTGATTTAATAAAGGAGGTAGTCAAGAAAATAATACATATGCTAGGAAGAGATACATAGGAGGAGCTTTGAGAAGCTTTGTTGTGGGTTCTTTGAATGTAAAAGTTCGTTGTGGTATGTGATTTTTGTAGTGTTGATGGTCATAGACGCTGAGTGTATCGCGTGTGAGTGGTGCCAGGAGTATTGATAATGTAGACCTGCATCACTAGCTATAGGTAGCTAGCCAGGAAATAGGCAGGCAGCTGAACGGAGATATGTAGAGCGCTGAACGTATCCTATATAGATAAATAGACAAAAAGGGACCGGATTTTTCTTTTCTTTCATCGTGACTTTGTTGACCTCATGTGTAAATCTGAAATATTTCGGCTTTTTCTCTCCTCTTTCTTCGCTCTTCTACGCAGCTTGGGGCTGAGTGCGGCCTCCTTTGGGTGTGATGTTTCCACCACGGCCGCGAGGGGTATAGCGGCCAGAATCGTTGTGGAAACCGCCACGGCCTCCCTGGCTCCCAGAACGACCGTCACCACGGCCACGTCCGGAGCCTCCCCGACTAGAACCGTAGTTGGAATTCCCCCCAAAACCGCCGGGGCGGCGACGCTCAACGGTCACTTCTTCGGTTCCGATTTGGTGGGGGTTCGAGGAGAGAGCAGTCTTGTAGGCGGCTACATCCGCAAACTCGACATAGGCGGTACCCTGCGTTGCGTTCCTTGGATTAGCCTAGAGCCATTGAACATGTATATATAGAAATATGGAGGGGTCTCCTTTTCAGAAACATACCTGTTGTCTGTTCACATTGAAATACTTAAGCTTTCCAAACCGGGACATGACCTGTTTCAAGAGCGCCGCGTCGACCTTTTCATTGACATTTTTTATGAGTCCGCGGGTGTTCTCCTCTCCAACTGTAGATACGGATTGAGGGCGGCCCTGTCTCCTGCCATGATCCGCACCAGCAGTCTGCCATTCGGATCCACTTGAAGACTGGCTGGTAAGGTTTTCACTTTCTCCAGCGCGAGTAGCAGCGGCTGGCGCAGCGGACGTCGCTGCAGCTTGGGAAGGGGTGGGGGGAGGGGCCTTCTGAGAAGCGAGTGCTGCCGCAGCTGGGGTTGGGGTGGCCGCGATAGGCGTTGCTACCGCCGGGATACCAGCGCGGTTGGAAGCAATGGACGCCCAACTCATTGGTACCTTCGCAACGGGAGGCGCAGGCTCCTTTTCTAGTACGGGAGTTGAAGCTTTTGGAGTAGGTACAGCGGGAGTTTGCTCTTGTTCCTTGGCCTTTTCGGCTTCGGGTGCGACCTCGGGAAATACCGGGGCGGCTGCCTGCGTTGGGGGTACGGCGGTCGAGGATGGAGCAGGAGGCGCAGTGGCTTTATCGTCTACAGATTCACCTACGGGCTGCGGCTCAGCAGCTGGGGTAGGAGCTGTGTCGCCATTAATTTGTTCAAGCTTCTCGTCAATTTCTTGTACCGCGGTCTCATTGTCTGCCTGCCGCTCGATGGCAACAACCTCTGGAGTTGTTTCCTGGTCTAGAGCTGTCGCGGTAGGTTCCACAGCACCAGCTGCTTCCTCGACCTCGACAGGCGCTTCCTCAACAACGGCTTCTTCCTCTTCATCGGCCAAGTATCTAATGATATCATTCAAGACGTAATATCCATTTGGTTGCTCAGCTAGCACGAATGTCTGGACGAACTTGCGAGACGGCTCAGATTTGTTTGAAATTTCACCAATCACTGAAACGAGGATGTTATCGAAGGAGGCCTGGGAATCCACATTCAAGACACGGACCTTACAGTCCTGGAAATCAAGTTCCTTGATCCGTTCGTTGATAGCCTAAAACAAACGATTTTAAAGTTATTAGTTTTTAGATTTTAGAAACCGAAACTTTGTTTTTGAAAAAAAAAAAAAAAAAAAAAAAAAAAAAAAAAAAAAAAAAAAAAAGAACAGCGCTCACCTTTTGTCCAACAGCAACCGTAACCTTTTCTGCCTCCATACCAGAGACAAACTGAGATTTACGGGAGTAAAAAAGGTGCAGTTTTTCGGGGTTACGGCTGAGAGTGGTATAGTATTGCTCAACAAAAAACCATCCCACCTCATCTTTGGGAATGTCATTCTTGGGTTCAGAACCACCAGCAGGAGCTGAAGAATTGTTATGTTGTTGATTATTATTGCTATAATTTGCGGAGGAGATGCTGTTGACGGGAGCGTGGGATGGATTGTAGGCGTCAGCAGAGTAAGGATTGGCTTGGTGATGGGCGTGGTAGTTCCCGCTGACGAGGGTTGGGTTGGATGTAGGTTCGACGGCCATGCTGAGCGGTTTTTCTTTTAAATCTAAATAAGGGGGAATTTTGGGGGTAAAATGATAAATGATAGAAGATCGAGCGAAATAGGTCAAGGGATAAAGAGGGAAAGATCAGCAGCAGACGGTAAAGATGAAGCAGTACGTCAAGTCAAATACGTCGTCGTTAGAAGGGCGCGGCAAAGGAAAAACAGGAATGAAAAGTTTTTCTAAAAAAGAATTACAGGAAGAAGAGGCAGAAAG